ATCTTCCAACTATTGAACAAAATCCACGTTCATGTTGTCATATTGATTGAGTGGGTTTCACTATAGATTAATTACTCCTCTTGCAAGGGATAAATTAAGCTGACCATACATACAATTTTCTTATTCGATTACCTTTAGATTTACCTTCAACTATTTAGTGCCTGTCTGATTGCATGCAAATTGAAAGTGTTTATGTTTGACCTCATATTATATAGTTTTGGTAAAGCTAAAATAAAATTGTACAAGAAAACTGTATAATGTATGGCCAGCCTTAGAAAAGAAATCAATCGATTAACACCTTGGTGCGGGCCCTTCCCAGCCCTTTAAGAGTTTCTGAAGCCGGGAGGCGGGGCAGGGTTTTAGGGTCATGTGACCACCGTGATTCGCTGTCACATGATCGGGAAAGGTCCCTATCGAAAGAGGAGATCAGGACCTTTCTGTGTACCAGACATGCGTGCTGGGAGCGTGCAGGGCGCGCGCTCTCAGCACATATGTTTTTCTTAATTGCACGCAAATGTGCGACCGCTCGACGTCAAGGCCCAGACATTTGCGTGCGGCTGGCACCAAGAGGTTAAGCAAATTGTGTAGGGCCACCATATAAAGGTAAAAAGATAATCAACGCTTCTACCTCCTCTGTGCTCTATATCACATGATTACTAATAAAGTGCTAAAATTTTTGCATGTGTTACCACTATAAATAGATACTGTATACACTTCATATACCTTCCTACAATTCATAAACCAATAGGTACAATTTTCATAAGTCTCAATAAACTGCATACTATAAATAAAAAGTAAACAAAATATCACATTTTATTTGAAAAGTTCTGCAAATTAAAAGTGCATACATGGTGAAGTAAAAAACACTTACTGAAATAAGTATGTCCATATAAAATGTCCATTAGTTTTCGGATGTGCAAAAAAAAAAGACTGCGTGTACTTTTAATCGATTGAACTCCAGTTTGAATGGCCTTATACACTACAATCCCTTCTTGTGACATAGAATATACCCCAAATCAACTTGGTGAAGTTAAACCGGAACTTCACTCAAAAATGGGAACTTCCACTTTTTTGCCTCTCCTTTTTTTTTGGGGGGGGGGGGGGCAGTAGGTACCTAGTTTCGATAGGTACATGCTCCAACCTCCACTTGGATCGCGAAGTCCCCCCTCTTTGTCCACAGCCTTTTGGGACACATTCACAAAACGCAGCGTGGATCACGCATGCACAGTGGGATCCAGCTGTGAAGCACCAAGAAGTCACAGCAGACTGCCCACAGTCAAAGAAGAACTCCGGGACATGCAAAAAAAATCACCCATTAGTACACACCAACACCCTACACAAAACACTAAACCGTTAATACAATTTTGAAAATCCTTATGTAGTAGAAAAGTCTGATTGAATTTTCATGGCCTCATCTCTGTAATTCAAAAGATGACCGTAACTGCTCTGCCAAAGAGGAGGTGTAACAGCAGGGATTACATTGTATCCTCTCCTCTCTGGTGGCAGTAAAAGGAAACTACAGTTCCCATCAACCACAGGGAATTGTAGTGAATGTGGGCAGGTACATTAGGCCTGTACATGTTGAATGTGTCTGAGAGTCTCGGTCCACCCATCACTGCAAGTGGGGCCGAATTACATCACTGCTTCCTGGAGAAAGAACTACAGAAGGGATGTGCCAAGACCAGTTGCTGGGGAAATAGGAGGCAGAGCAGTCCCTGGTCTAACAAACAGGAAACCAAAGAGAATTAAAGTGTTACTAAACCCACAGCAGTAAAATCCGTCTGTATATGCAGTAAAGCATGCGTGTTATACTCACTGTGGAACCTAAGGGGTTAAACCTCTGCATTGTGTAAAAAGGCTGTTTGATCCTGTCTTCTCTGATCCTTCCCTTCTTCTACTTTCCCCAATCCATCTACTGATAGAACAGAGCCTTGGGAGGCAAGCCTGCACATGCTCAGTTTGGTGTGTATTGCTTGAGAGTTTTATTTTCTTGGGAGAGAGCATGTGATCAGCACAGGGTCAATCAGCACTGTCCAGGCAGAGGATCAGGGATTATGCAGCCTCATAGGACAGTCAGAGGAGAATGAAAACTCCTCCTACACGCTTTTAAACCAGTGCTCTTGCTGGACACTGATAGAAGTCACAAGACTGCTGTAACTGCTGATGAGAAAAGGTATTTAGAAGTTTATATTTACTAAAATAATTGCATTCCCATTTTCTGTGTACTGTGGGAGACCAGATATAGTGAATGCAGGGTTTAGTAAGACTTTAAAGTGATTCTAAAGATTTAATTTTTTTTTACAAAAATAACTAACGTGTCTATACTTACCTGCTGTGTGCATTGGTTTTGCACACAGAGTAGCCTAGCCTCCTCTTCTCAGATCCCCCCGCCGGTGCTCCTGGTCCCTCCTTCCTGTTTGGGTGCCACCACAGCAAGCAGCTTGCTATGGAGCTACCTAAACATGCACACTCCCCAGCTGCTGCTCCATGTGTCAATGCACATACGGAAGGGAGAAATGTCACCAGCACACCAAAGTGCTCCAATGCTTTAATAAGCAAACACATAGTTACAGCAAGAGCAACCTTTCGGAATCTCGCAGGACCCCTTCATCAGGCATCATCACATGCCTGATGAAGGGGTCCTGAGAGACTCCAAAACATTGCTCTTGCTGTAACCATGTGATTGCTTATTAAAGCTTTGGACCCATATTGGAGTACTTTGGTGTGCTGGTGACATTTCTCCCTTGTGATGTTTCTCAGTTCCAGCAGATGGTCACTGTACAGCACCCACCTACACGTGTAGCCACTCTTTGATGCAGGAACGTGTGCACTGGGGTTTTTGAATTGTACCATTAACAAATAGATGCCCAGCTTGGCCCTGCCCCCTTTCTGTTCTCATTGGCTCACTGGATGTGATTGAAAGCAATGGCTCCCGCTGCTGTCTCAGCCAATGAGCAGAGGGAGTCTGCGGATAGCCAAGACTTCAGTGCACATTGCTGGATTAAGAGGGGGCTTAGGCTAGTATTAGGGGGGCTGCTGCAAAGAGGTTAGAGAGAATGCAAAAAAAACCTTGAGCCTTTACAACCTCCGGTTTGATTTGAAAATGAATAGGCTATTTCAGAGCAACCAGATGATGAATGGCATATTCAATGAAGGTAGGAAATCAGCAACAAGGACATGTAAAGAGGTTTTTGCCCGGGGTTCTGCTTTAACACGCTGGCACCCCTAATGAAGAAGAAGCTTGGGTGAGAACAATGCTGGATCCCAGGACAGGTAAGTGTTCTTTTATTAAGCCTGTGTTTACACTGATGTGGTGTGGAATTCGCAGTGTTTTCTGTGCAAATTCCGCACCGCATCAGAAGCGCACCCCGTTCATGCGAACTGCTGCGGGTGTGTATGTTAACAACATCCTGAAATTGGTCCGCAAAACGCGGTACGATGTTCAGAATCGGATCGCATAGGTGTGAATACCCATGTGATCCGATTCTAGTGCAGACCCCAAAAAAGGGTCCTGCATCTTTTTGGTGTGGGTGCTGTGCAATTAGAACCTTACATAATGTATGGCTCCAGTCACACCGCACACAAATTGCATGTGTTTGTACAGGAATGTGGTGCGGTTCATGTGCAAATCACATGTGATGTACCACACCGCATATATGTGAACCCGGGCAAAAAATCAGCAGATACAGTATTTGTAGCTGCTGATTTTAACCGCTTCCCATCTGCCCTATTGCAGAAGTACTGCTACAGGGCGACATGGGTGCGCAAAATCACATATATTTATGCGATTTTGCATTTCCGGGTAGAGGGCGCGCACATGCCCCACCCCGCGCCACCATTCACAGGCTGCGGCTGTCAATCACTGGGTCCCACTGGTAATTACTCACCAGTGCCCAGTGATTGCCAAGCATCTCTGACATGGTGGAGAGATCTGTTTGTAAATAAAACAGTTCTCTCCCCTGTCAGCTCCTGCACATTGCTTTGCATGGCTCTGCACAGCACAGCCATGCAAAGCAGTATGCTTACAGTGAAGCACAAACACAACCCAGTATGCAAAACAGCACACAGTTAACCCTTTGATCGCCCCACATGTTAACCCCTTCCTGCCTAGTGCCATAAGTACAGTGTCAGTGGTTTTTATTAGCACTGATCACTATATTGGTGTCATTGGGGATGTCAGTGACACCAAGTCAGTCTCCCCCCAGTGTCAGAATGCCCACTATAAGTCACTGATCGCCGCCATTACTAGTAAAAATAAAATAAAAAAAAAAAAACTCCCAGTATATATACCGCCATTTGTAAACGCTATAACTTTCACAATAAACAAATTAATTTACACGTATTGGGATTTATTTTTCACCAAGACATGGAGCAGAATACACTTTGACCTAAATTTAGGATAAAATTTGATTTTTTACATTTTTTTATTGAACATTTAATAGCAAAAAGTAAAAAAAAAAAAAAATTTTCTTCTCAAAATTGTTGGTCTTTTTTTTTTTAAAGAGCAAAAAAAGAAAAAATGCACAGATGATCATATAATGAATCAAGAAAGCTCTATTTGTGGGGGGGGAAGAGGACATAAATTTCATTTGGGTAAAGCATTGCATGACCGCGCAATTGTCAAAGTAACGCAGCACCGTAACGCAAAAAAAATGGCCTGGTCGGGGGGGGGCAAATGTTTTGTTTTTTTTTTTGGGGGGGGGGTAGAGTGAAGCTCTGCTTTATGCGCAATTGTTTCTATTGGCTTGGCTGATTTTCCTGTAAGGTCTGGGGCTGTTTAGCAGAGTAAGCATTATCCTCCTCTTCAGTCAGCAGTGGAAACGTGCAGCAGCTCAGCTGACTGGTAAATCCAGTGCAGTAAGGAGAGGCCCGACCTGTCCTGTGAGATGGGAGCCTTGCAGGGTGCACACACAAGTAAACAGCCTGCTATGAAGGATGAGCAGCCCCGCCCAGTCCAGCCACGCCCCTCCTCCTCACCTGTCCGTCCTCAGACCACTCACCTGGTGTAAAGTTTCTGCAGGGAGCTGGGATGCTCGGAACAGCTCGGCTACTTTACTGCTGCCCGCCGCCAGCCGGGGGGAGCCCTCCACTTGGCACAGGGAGAACAGCTCAGAGTAGGGCTTCTGTTCATGGTCACTCAGAGCCAGGTACACTCCCGCACACACCTCCATGGAGCGCCTCCTGCCCGGCTTGCCGTCACTTTATCCGGGTGTCACTCTCTTCCCGAGCTTTCTCCACAAGAGGTGAGTGAGCAGTGAGAAGACCGGGAGCAGGAGGAGAACGAAGAGGAGGAGGTGTTACTGCAGCTGAGGAAACATCCTCTGTCTGCAGTGCTGACAGCACACCGCTCAATACACCAGCTGGAGAAGCGCGCTGCTGCCCTCTACTGCCTACACACCAAACTGCACTGAAGGAAGCCTTGCTGTGTTTTCTTCTATTCGTGATTATATTTCTACATTTATTTATTTCAGGTACTTATATAGCGCCGTACAGGGGCGGACTGACAACTTATGGGGCCCCCAGGCAATAGGGGATCATGGGGCCCCTGTGTCCTTGCCCAAACTCAAAAAAGCCTATGAAAAAGGTACCAGGTGCATCTCATGTGGCCCCCTACTGACCCCGGGCCCTCGGGCAGTGCCCGAGTTTCCAAATGGTCAGTTTGCCCCTGGTGCCGTCCATTTACGCAGCGCTTTTACATATATATTGTACATTCACATCAGTCCCTAACCCTCAGGGGGTGTACAATCTAAGGTCCCTAACTTACATTCATACATACACATACTAGGGCCAATGTAGACAGGAGCCAGTTCACCTACCAGCATGTCTTTGGAGTGTGGGATGGCAAAACATCTTCTGAAAAGAAGCCTGTTCAAACTTCAGCTCCGGAAGATTTTACCCCCTTCGTAACCAGACCAATTTTTTTTGCTATTCGGAAATGAGCTACTTTAACCCCTTCACACCTAAGGGTAAAACAAATCTAAATGCCTAAGCACAATTTTGCAATGTTGACATGTGTTAGTAACACCGTACATATCATCACAACTACTTTGTACATCCAGGTGAATTATACCTTGTTTTTTTCAGGACAAATTGGGCTTTCATTTGGTGGTAAATGGTAATGGATATCTCCTGATTTTTTTTTTTTTTTTTTTTTTAATTATCAAAGGAAAACTGGCCCAAAATAGTAAAAAACAAATAATTTTTTTTTTATTTAGCTGTGTGTTTCTTGTTACTACCATAACCTACCACCAAAGAACAACCCAAAATAAATTCTTCAGCTCTTGACGTTCGCAGCGATACCATATATGTGTATGTTATTTGTTGTTTGTACCCGTAGTACAGCCCAGAAACTATAGTGCGCATTTTGTTTTTGTTTGTTTTTTCACCTAAAACACACTGACACCAAATCCTGACCTTTGACCCTGACCATGACCCAAACGCTAACCCTGGCACTGAACTAGGTGAAACCTTGATCTAGGTATTTTTTCTTTATTTTTTATTTTTTAATATTTATTTAGTTATCCTTTTTTTTTCTTTTTTTACAAACATTTGTTTTTCTCTCTATGCCAGGAGTTAGAGAGATACAATGTATCTTTCTTCTCTATTCATAGTGAGAGAAAAAAACAAGGGGGGTGGGCTGCAGAGTGACTACTCACTGTGATAGCCAATCAGAGATTTCCCCTCTGTTATATTTCTGGGGACAACCCAAAATATGGGATTTTCTTTTTGCCCTGGTTGATAGTTCCAGATCACATGACATGTTGCACCCTATTGTCGGAAAAGGAGCAGTTCAAATTGGTGCAACTCCAACTTTGCAGTGAATTAACAACAGCAAATCTTAATTTCAAAGTTTAAGTTGCATCATAATCGAAGTTTCCACAGAAAAACTCCTAGGCTGCTTGCTCCTCAGAGCTCCACAGAGGAGACATGCTTGACAACACCTAGGGGGAACATACTTACCAAATTTCCTATGATTGGAGGAATGAACCCAATGATTGGTTCCTATGAACCCAAAACCCAGCAAATTGCCACTTTCTCATGCACCAAATACTCAAAAGATACCAAGGACCCAACCTTCCAGGTCTCCAAGGTACAATGCCACATAATGGATACTGATGTAGTCTCTCTTCTGGGTAAATCCACCAATAAAACAGACTGCCTCACAAAGAACTCCTTAAAGTGCAATTAAATCCTTGCATGAAAAAATGTGGTAGCGGCATACCTCAGTTCCTTGTCTGCTGTCCTGATGATCCTCATTTCCTCCCTTTGGATGGTTTCCACCAAACCAGGGTCTCCTTGGAGCAACCCTGATGTGCTCACACCTGGCCAGAGATGGGCAGATACTGCAGAAAAACTTCACATCCAAAGACATTACCCTGTTCCTCCTACAAGGTTGTTGAATGACAGGGACTTTATTCTATAGGATCTCCATAGATAGGCATGGCTTAACCTCCCTAGCGGTCTGATTATGTCCATATTTCTGTGCTCAAAGTGGTACATTTTTTTTGCATGGAAATATGTATTTTTTTATTGTAGGCCTGTAATTTTTAGGAATAACTTACTGAAATCTGTCCGAACAAGTCTAGTAAACATCCCGGGTAGGATAAAACTTGAAACACGAAATCATAAATTATAATTTAATAAATAATCATAAAAAATAATAATATAATAATACATTTAATTCAATAATATAATCAAACCAAAAACACTGAAATTTGAAATATAGCGCCAAGTTTCGCACATCACTGAGCAAAGTCGCAGAATCGTTTTCAGTGTCTGATGACGAATTTCCTCACGAATCATTATCACTCAATTCTGCAAGTGGTTCTAATTTACTATCGCTGTTCTCTAGCTGGTCTAAAACCGCTTTTGACCTAAAAGGATGCTTTTTGGACGCCATGGACGTTTCTCAGTTTCCAGGCAGAAAGAACAGTAAAAATGCAGGCAGGGCACAGGACAAAGCACTAGGGACAAAATGTATGTGAAATGGTTTGATACAGTAACGTTTTACTATGTGATTTTAGTGAATTCAGTGAATATCACTTTTTGTCATTTTCAAATTTCCCGCCGTTCCGTCCCCCGTACGTCCCGACGCTCACAGGAGACGGAACCCAGATGCCGGCATCCGGCGGATGACACTGCAGGAGGGACATCGCGGGAGCGAAGGACAAGGTAAGTGATCGAGGGATTGCGGAGCAGCACTGCATGGTAAACCCGAGTGTAGCTCATGGTTACCGCTTGTAGTACTGAAACTTTACCCCGAGCTACACTCAGGAATACCGCCAGGGAGGTTAATGGAACATAAAGACCAGAGGGGTGGCCACACAGTGGGCACTCCCAGACTGGAAGTTCAGGAGAGAGGGACAGAGCACCTAGCTACAGTTACACCAATACATTTTGTGTACAGTGAAGACAGAAATGTATATTTACTACTAACTGTGCTGAGTTTAACATAAATGGCAATAATTGTCTGAGGGTTTACTAGTACTTTAAGGTAGGTTAATAACATCCCCATAAAGCCCTGCTCTTTTTTTGTATGGCTGTATGGTGAATACATGTAAAGTGTATGAAAATCCAATGCTTTACATTATTACTAAGGATACATTTATTATGATGAGAGAGGGCGACAGAGTGCAAACTGGTGTTGATTAAAACTTGTGTAAAAGTTATATGTCCCATGAAGTGACCATAAGATCAAGCTACATAAAAAAACTCAACCTTCTGGGAACAAATAAAATATGACATACAGAGCTAAAGAATGCTGAATGTTAACCAAGGCATTTCAATTATAAATGAGTCATAAATATTGATCCTAGTATACTGTACTGAAATAAAATGGATAAATATATATTGGTTAGATGTTGATGACATAAGAAGTAGTTATTTTTCCTGTCATTTTTTGAAATGTTGCAGTTATTAGACTATTAGTCTCCACATTGTCTTAGTAATAATATTTTCAACAACCCTAGATTGCAAATATTTGTCAGAATGTGATGGTTTGATGGTGAAGGACTAGAAACTTTTGATATTCAGGAAAACATTCATGGTTCATGGTTTTTGTAGGCTACAAAAATCACTCCACATAAAGAACATGGTTTATTGCAAATCACCTTTTCACATATGTATGCTAAAACAGGGAATAAAGTGTAAATGAAAGAATAAAGTATAAGTGAACACATTGTGTGAGCTGAACAAAATGATTGCTGAAAATTAAATGAGCTCATCTAAATAAAATACCATGTCATCTCAAATAATCCTTTCCATTCAGCTTCCATTACCAAACAAGCACAATATATTTCACAGTTTTGCAATCTTCTAGTTTAGGGGTGTTCAGGCCCAAGACAGCTATGTGATGTGACCCAACACAAAATTATAAACGTACTTAAAAATTTGATTATCGGGGGGAATTTTTTGTAAAAATGGGTTTACCCTTAGTGAACACATGCGTCTGAAGACAAATTTGATAGCGTCTCTTTACTGGACTTTTATGAGTTTTATCTTCCCAAAGAAAAATATCCCACTTTCACATCTTATTTAGTTTTTGGCAGCACCTACAGTATATTTGTCAGCAACTGTCTTCAAGGATGAAGCACACAACGGGCAAAACTAGAACCAAATATCTGATGAGCACCTTAAGAATTCATTGAGAATTGCTACTACAATAGTAGTTTATCAAAAACAGTGTCAAATATTACACTCGTTTTATGTTGTCCTCTTTTACATTTATAATAATAAAAAATACATAAAGTTTTATTACTCAGATAGGTACCTTTATCTATATCAGTGATTGTTACCTTGTGATCTGCCAATCCTTATTGATAGTGTATTTTATGTGCGGCCCAAGACAGTTCCTCCTCTTCCATTGTAACCTAGGAAAATCAAAAGGTTGGATACCCCTGAGGCTCTTTGTCAAAATCTCAGAGCCGCAAAGGCAGTTAGTCCTGGAAAACTTACCCATGCCAAACACTGTGATCCAAGGTAAGATGAAGGAGCAACTAGCTATACAACGCTCAGCAGCTGTCAATGACAGACCCTGAGGTCTGAATTGGGAAGCAGTTCCACTTGGGACCTAGCCCAACATATATTATTCGAACTAGCCCAGAGGAAAAATGCCCCCAGACCAAGCCTCCCCTTTGAATGAACTGAGACATTGAAAATTTAGTTATTTCTATGTAAGCCATAGACCAAAAAGTAAAAATACTGTAAATAAATAAATATATCCTGTTTTGACAAGTGTTTATTTAACCACTTCAAGTCCGGACACTTTCACCCTCTTCCAGTTTAGGCCAATTTTCAGCACTGTGAATGATAATTGTGCAGTCCTGCAATGCTGTACCCAATTAAATTGTTAGCATTTTTCACACAAATACAGCTTTCTTTTGGTGGTAATTGATAACTACTGTTTTTTTTTTTATTTTTTTCTATATAAATGAAAAAATACTGAATACTTTGAAAAAAAAAAAAAGTTTTTGCTTAGTTGTTGGCATAATATTTTGCAAATAAATAATCTTTCCTCATAAATTTAGGCCAAAAATGTATTCTGCTACATTTTTTGTGGGTAACAATAACTCAAAACAATGTATATTATTTACTCTATGTGAAATTTATAGAGTCTACAAACTATGGCATACATATATCTGAAAATTGATCACTTGAGACCCTAAAAGGCCAGACTCTGATAAGACTTATGGCAGTGATCAGAACATTGGAAGCAGTTAAAAATAAAAATAGTTTTGCTGTAAATAAAAATGTACATTTAGTGTTATAATCTGCAAGTTACTTGCATCTGAAATACATTTTTCAGTTTTGCCAATTCTTTTAATGTGACACTGCAAAAAAGAAAACAAAGCAGATTAAACAGAAAAACATATTTAAATATTAGTGGTTAACAAAATATGCAATTAAAAAAATCAGCACTAAAATAAGGGATAAAGAGAAAAGAAGTGGAGAAAATTGTTAATTATGGCTGACTAGGGTTAACAATGAATTAATACAAGGTTAAATAGGAATATATTTTATATAAAAATATTTTTACTTTCTGCTGACAAGGTTTCCTTAACTGTATTCATATGCAGATCCAGGCCATACCTTTGGTCAACATATGAATTAAATAATAAATACAGCATAACAACTGTATTACTCAATTACACTTGCAGGCGTCATTTTACACAAGAGCTTTGCATTTTGACAGCTGCATTTGCAATGCAGTTGACCATAATTTGTGGCAGGGGGGATGGGAGGGGGGGGGGGGGGCAGAGGCAGGAGAAGAGGAACAGAATGTAGGAGATACATCCTACAAACTGTTGAAGTCTGTTGGGGTGTATCTTCCAAGTTCAAAACCCTCAAGAGGTTAAAAAATGTATTAAATCTACATGGTCTCTTTGAAAACAATTTTTCTTTTTGGGACTATTGACATTTAACATTGAGCCAAACTGGGCAGTAGACAGAGAATTAGTAACAGCAGGCTGGATAGCAGGTGACATGTCACTGGAGTCAAGCTGGATAGCTGAAACAGAGGCTGGATGCAGAGGTGTTAGCGGGGGGCAGTTGGTGATGATGGAATAGTCATTCCATCTGCTCCTGCTGTGCGAACCGGGCATCAACAGGCAGCTCTTCTTAAGCATGGCGGCCCTGGCCCATCGGGCAAATGCCTGGTGTGCCCTATGGCCAGTCCAGGCCTGGAGGTTATCATCCCTTTTGAGACCATAATCATAAAGAAACACCAAATGACGGGACTTTAAATACCCCTCCAAGGGTCAAATATGACCATAACAATGCTATAAAAATATTTTGCAAACATTTTATTCCACTAATATAAAACATGTTTACATTAAAAACATTAGTAATATAGGACTTAGAATCTGTCCCTTATTTCCCACATATAGAGTAGTGGTGGAGGGACTGTTACGTTGGAGTCCTATGGAGATCTGAACTGTAGGTCCACGCATTTTGCAGGGTAACCCGCTTCCTCAGGGCCTTAGATCTCAAAGAAGTGGATATGGTAATCACTACAATAATATTGAAAATAGGAGAAAATTAGATCATTATAGTAATTACACAAACAATGGATTTTATTACATAACCAATCCCAAAAGAAAAAGGAAGAAATGAAGGAGAAAAAATAGGGTAAAAAAATAAATAAATAAATATATATATATATATATATATATATATATATATATATATATATATACACACACACACACACACACACATAATGGAAAAAATATATATATATATATATAATATATATTGAAATGTATACATGTATCTATGTGTTCCTTATTGCGGTCCAAAGTTCCACAAAATGTAAAGGCACAGGAAAACACATGATATGTTCAAACATTGATGGGGAGCCCTAGCCTGGTATGTCGTGCCGGCCCATGGGTAGACCACTACCAGAGGGGAATAGTGGACTAAAAAGGAGGAAACGGGAAAAATCAATATATATATAAAAAATAATTACAAAAAACATCCACATATCTAACTACTGAACAGGATCATGCCGATTATTCAACATAAAACATCACCCCACATAAGGGCAGTAGATTAAATATATTCATGTAGATATTAGATGTATAAAGTAACAACAAACAGCCCCAAGTGAGATAAAATATCACACACAGCTTACCTTAACCACTTGCCTACTGGGCACTTATACCCCCTTCCTGCCCAAGCCAATTTTCAGCTTTCAGCACTGTCGCAATTTGAATGACAATTGCGCGGTCATGCAACACTGTACCCATATGACATTTTTATCATTTTTTTCACACAAATAGAGCTTTCTTTTGGTGGTATTTAATAGCTGCTGGGTGTTTTATTTTTTGCGCTATAAACAAAACAAAAGCAAAAAAAAAAAAAAGATCATGACCTTATCTTTCCTGTTGCCCGATTCATGTGTGGGTTATGACGTTTAAGCCAAGGATAACCTATGATAAGGGGATAAGCAGGAGATGTTATGAAGTAGAAGATGATTGTCTCACTATGAAATTCCCCAATGGTCAGGGTAATAGATACAGTGCACAACGTGACCAGGCCCATGGACAAGGGAGAGTTAACAGCTAAGACTGAAAAGGGTTTTGTGTACCTTAGTCAAAGAAATCTGTAGATGGTGTACTAAGTCACTATCAATGAAATTGCTGACTCACACTTCTCTCCCAC